TCCAAGAGTGAACTTCTTGCTAAATTGCAATCTACTCTGTAAAGGGAGCTAATTAACATCTTGGTCCTTAGATGGATCTCCACACATAAAATTGGAACAGAAAGTTGTATGGAGTAAAGTTAGCAATACTACTGGAACCTAGAAGAAGTAGCTTATAATGTATGAAGACAAAGAAAGAGGTTAATAAAAGAGGAGGCAAGACTGACTATTATAGTAAGTGAAATGTCACCATAAATTATGTGACAGGGACACACAAACACAAAGTATCAATTAGGGATTCAGGGGACAATGAGATCACATCCTAATTGTGAAACATTGGAACAACATTATCTATAGAATCAGTGGAACATGGGAATATCACGTAACACGCAAGTACTATCTGAGAGTAAAAGACTAGTTTATCAACCATCAAATTTAATTAGCACAAGTTGCACAAGTAAAAATGAATTCTAAGCCACCACATTGGAATACAAAACGCCATAGAAGACTCTTTTTGGGACTTATAAGCTGCCTCTAAAGATTGCATGGTGTTGGCAATCAAATCCAGCACGTTTACAATTAGAAAGTGCCACAGAATAGAACAGATATCAACATACATTGAAAGAAAGCAAAGTGAAACTCACATTTGTATTAGTCAATTCTAAGTTGTAGAAATCCATTGCACCTTGGACAAATAAAGGCCCAGCATGCCAAGTCCCAACATTAAGCTTAAGAAACGTGGGGCCCGTAACTTTGAAGACCTGCACTTCTTCCACACTAGGAGGTACATATAAATGGCCACAAGGTGACTTGGCAATTTTTTTGCTTGGTTCCACAACATTTGCACTTGAATCATTCACTTCTTCCACACTAGGAGGGATATACAAATCCACTATGGATGGCTTAGCAACTCCAAGATACCATACATGGCCACCAATGGAGCCTAAGCACTGAGTCACATTTGCATGATGGGTGATTGTTGAAAACTTGAGTCCTCGATCTTTTAGTTGCATAATGTAAAACCTGACATTATACATTAACAAATTGTTAGCTACATCCGCTGAGGAACTTTAATAGGCGACTAAGAAACTAAGAAATTGGGAGAGTGGACTAAAGAAAGATCACTAGTTTCTATTAAAGTTGGTGAAACATATATCAAGTTATCTATAAGCAGATAAGTTATGAAGTAGTCGTACCCAAGGCGACAAAGCTATTCCCTTTTTGCCTCATCCTAAAAATAAACAGGTTTAATAGAGATTGCAGAAAATTGCAACTGTCCATTATTTGCAATCTTTTGCAAATTGCAGCAAAAACGTAAGTTTCCTACGATATACATATCAATGGCAAAAGGAAGCAAACACATACAATCATAAAGATAACTACAGCAAAATGGTCATAAAATTCTCATACAAGATCAAGATGGGGACCATACAAGAGAAAATAATCAGTTCCATCTACTCAGTTTGCCAATAGTAAAGCCTAGACCTATAAAAAAGGTGTTCTAGCAACTGAGCTCCAATTGCAATAATATGTAAGTAAATCTTCTTCGAGGTGAACGAAATCCCACTAATCTAGTTTCAGTGGTAAAAAAAAAAAAAAAAAAAAAAAAAAAAAAAAACACATTGTCTTCTCTCAAATATTAATCTATAACTCTCAAATCTTTGTAGAACATTGGCTCCTTTGGCGCGTTTACCAATGAAATATATTAATTCAATATATTAGTACGTGCTAGGTATTTTAACACATTTTCCAGGTTATACTCCTTAAGATTGAATACAATGTTGCCACAATCCAGAAAAAAAGAAATCCTTTGCCACATGGGTCATTGGAACAATCTCAACTTGATAAGAAATTATTTCTTTATAATTAGAATGACCACCCACCACTTATAGTATACACTTGGTAAATACAAAAAGAATCAAACAATTAAGGTAAGGCGGCTCTAAAGATAATTTATGTTAAGTTGCTAACATGAGATTATACATTGAATGGTGTGGCTATTTACCTAACAGTTTGGTAGCTAATCCTACTACCCAGCAAAACGACGAATATGTGCCATTTCTCCCTCCCAACAAAACCCCATCTTCACATTCTTGTTGCTTTAAATTAAATTAAATTAAATTATCTTAGTCAATTAAAGTAGTGTTAGATTGCTACATATGTGCTAAGTAGAGTTTTTAAATTGTACAAACTATAAGCCCTACATGTGAAACCAATACTTTCCGTACACACTAATTTCATACATCAAAGGATAATGTCTGCGTGACTCGAATCATACCTAATTCAAGCAGCATAATGTACCCATCTAATTATAGCTTACATTTTAACCTATTCAATTAACCTGGAAATCTTAAAGATGAGTTTTTATGTCCACTAATTATACCAATTTAGAAAGATTTTATATGAATAAAAACAGTAAATGTAGTAAAATCAAGCATAATTTTGTAAACTCAAACTAAAAATACCCAACCAAATTCATGGAACAGTTAGATTAACCCAGCTCAGGCAACATAAAATAGCAGCAATTTAATCAAGAAATAAACAAAAATGAATAAACTACCAAAAAACCACCCAAAATCCTAGTAACCCAAAAAAACAATTATGGAGTAAGTTTCAAGAGAATTGTTAAACAAATTGCAAGTTTTTCACACATATAATTCCAATATTTTATAAATTAATCAAATTACTAAACCCTCAATGTAGAACTAACCCAATAAAATTGAACAGAATACCTAATAAACCCAACATTAGCAGCAATTTAATCATCAAAAAAAAGCAGTAAAAATTACAGCAATTTAATCAAGCAAGAATGAAGAAACTACAAAAACCCAACAACAAAAAAGTCAAGGGAGAGAGAAATTAAACCTGGGAATTCCCCGGGAAAGGTCAAGCTGAGCATCATGAGGTCCAAATTCTTCACCATCAGAAGAAGATTGGATAACTTGACCATAATCTTTGAAATTTTCAGGGGTTGCTTCAACTGCCTTCAATTTCACCAATTTAATCTTGTTTCCTCCTTCCATTTTCAGTGGCTCAGTTTTTTGGGGTAAGGTAGTAAGAGATTCTTGTTCTGGGTTTATGTTTTTGTTGTTGTTGTTGGAGGTCCAATTTCATGAAATGAACTGAATGTCGTTGAGTCGTTGACAAAGATATTGGTGAACGGTGATGATATTATTTTATAGAATTTGCGCATTTGATTGGCCGGTGCGCTTTTGCCTTTTTGTTTATGGATTAACTTTTCTTCCGTTTGGTTTAATAACAATTGCAACACTTTAAGTGACACACTTGTCAATATATTGATCCTTAATATTATATGATGTGTTAATAAGAAATATAAAAAGTTAATATAATAAAAATAATCTAAAGACTAATAAAAAAAAAATATTACATGGCAATGTATGTTTTTGGAAATTTTGTAAAAAAATCACCCTCAAATACACCACTTTTCTAAATAATCAATTTTTTTTTTTTTTTATAAAATTTGAAAAAAATAAAAACCCACCTCCAAAACACTAATCGTTGGTTGGTATACCTGGGTGTACCATGCCCGGATCAAAAACTAGTTTTTAAAAAAAGAGGAAAGAACATAACTTATATTTATAATGAACATCACGACTTTATAAAAAATATAGTATTAAAATATAAATAACGTGATAATTTTGGTGAATCGGTTTTTAAATAGGTAAAAGATAATTACCAATTGATTTTTAACACGTATTTAATGTCAAATCATTTTAAAATATTCAGTTTTCTATAATTTCTCTCTCTAAAATTATTTTTAATCAAGATTTTATTTTCAAATTTCAAATTTTAAAATTTGAAATTCATTTTCAAAATTTCAAATTCCAATATTTTTTTAATTATGTTCTCTTTCTTTTTAAAAAAAATTCTCTAAATAACCAATTATAATTTTTTATATTTTGTTATAATATTCATCTTGGTCATGTGTATTTATTATGATGTTCATTATATGATTTTTAAATGTCCATGTTCTTTGACAGCAATTTTAATGTACCTTTATTGTCACATAATGTTCATTACTTATTGTGAAATGTTTTCTAAATTTTGTTTTAACATGTTGGGTAAATATAAATAATGTTTTTCAAATAATATTATCATGTTCTTTAATTTTTTAGGAAAACGGTTAGTAGGCAATTTATTGCAAATCAAGAGCCGCCAAAGTTGTGAGACTTTGGGAATAAGAGTTCATACAAACTAGCTCTGAATTATTTCTAGTATCCCATCTTGCTACTAGATGGACTATCGAGTTGCCTATTCTCTTAACATGAGAAATAACAAAAGAGTCAAAATCATTTGCAAGACTAACAATATCATCATAAATGAGCCATATAGGAGAGAAGCCTGTTGAATGGTTCTCGATCTTGTTGACAACTGAGCTTGACTCCCCTTCAATCCAGATATTCTTGAACCCAAACCTTCGAGCCAACCCCATCCCATACCTCACTGCTGCTGCTTCAGCCAATTCCACATCCCACTCCCCATCATACTTTTTGGTAGCAGCAATCAACACACGCCCAGCCTCATCCCTCACAACTGCACCAAGGCTCACGTAATTATCAGCCACAATGTGAGCGTCTGCATTGATTTTAATCAGACCAGCAGGGGGGCAGCACCAGGATGACGCTGAGATAAAGCTTGGGGAAGAGCGTTTACTGTGAACCTTGTGAGCGTAAACACCATAATCAACCACCCAACGCACAAAGCCCACAGCAACAAAGGTAGCATTTAACGTGGCATTTTCTATATGGCGACGAAATAATTTCTGCTTCATTGCCATGCTCCCTTTGCTCGCTTGCCACAAGAAGTGTCTTAACTTAGGCGGACCATTAATATGCCACACAAGCTTCCATACTTCCCTATCATCATCACTCTAGGATGCCTCAACACCATTCAAAATGACCCAACCTGCCATACAAGCAACCAGATTTCACAGAATAGTCCCCATTTTTTTATGGCCACCAAAAAAGAGTATCCTTTGGCTTTGTTTGTGAGATAGACAGCTAGAGAATAAGCTTGCGGTCATGCTCAGAGAATAGAGATTGCAGCACATCCATTCTCCATTCCCCACAGTCAGCATCGATCAAATCAGCCACCCTTAATTCCGGATCAAAGTGAGAATCATGCACCGGGACAGCAGTGGACGGTTTCCTAGGCAGCCATGAATCAAGCCATACCCGAATGTTCACACCAGTTCCTACACGCCACTTTAGACCATCTAACAGTAAGGATTTTAAGCCCCACAAGCTTCGCCAGGAATAACTTGGATCGTACCCCCGAAAAGCCTCGAGCACCGAACTGTTTTTGAAGTGTTTCGCTTTAAGAATTGCATGAGTGAGGGTGTTAGGTCTCGTATGAAGTCTCCAAATCTGTTTTGCAAGGAGAGCTTGATTGAAAATTTTTAAGTCACGAAATCCCAAACCCCCAAGAGCTTTAGGCTTACATAAAGACTCCCAATTATGCAAATGCATTTTTCGGGTAGACTCTGTAGAACCCCACTAAAACCGAGCGAATAACACATGAATCTCATCGATTAGACCCTCTGGAATCTTGAATATGTTCATCATATATGTGGGGATAGCTTGTGCAACCGCCTTGATCATTATTTCTTTTCCAGGTCTTGATAGCAACTTCTCTTTCCACCCTTGAAGCTTTTTCCAAATTCTCTCCTTAAGCCCTGCAAAAATCACCTTTTAAGATTTACCTATGATGGTAGGTAAACCTAAATATTTCTCAGGTCTCTCAACCTCATTTACCCCCAAAACATTCACAATTTCTTGTCTCCGATTCGCATCCACACATTTGCTAAAAACTACATCCGTCTTATCAAGATTGACACTTTGCCCGGATGCTCTCTTATATATGCTAATAATATTAGCTATTTTTGAGCATTCTCTCACCGTAGCTCTAGCAAATAAAATGCTATCGTCAGCAAAAAAAACAAGTGTGAAATTCTAGGAGCCCTAGTAATAGCAAACTCGCATACCATGAATCAATTTCTCATTAGCTGCCTTTGTGATTAGAGTAGAAAAGGCGTCTGCAACAATAAGGAACAAATATGGCGAGATAGGGTCACCTTGTCTCAACCCTCTAGATGGAGTTACTGAACCTAAACTTCCCATTAATCTTGAATGCAAAAGACTCACTTGACAAGCATTCCATTATTCTTTGAACCCAACTATCATTGAACCCCATTTTGTACACGACCCTCTCCAGAAAGACCCATTCCACCCTATCGTATGCTTTCCTCATGTCAAGCTTCAATGCCACCGAGCCATCTCTGCCTTCACCCTTTCTCTTCATTGCATGGAATATCTCAAAAGCCACCGCGACATTATCAGTTATCAATTGTTTAGGCACAAAAGCACTCTGATTGAGCGATATAATATTGTCAAGAAACGATTTCAGCTTATTTTCCATGGTCTTCGAGATAATCTTATATAGCACATTACAACAACTTATAGGCCTAAATTCCGTCATACTTATAGGATTTTCACATTTCGAAATTAGAACCACACAAGTCTTGTTAACCACATTTAAATCAATATTTCCATGCCACCAATTTTTCACAAAGCAGATTATATCATTCCCAACAATATGCAAAATTTCTGAAAAAATAAAGCGTGTATATCGTCAGGGCCCGGAGCTTTATTTGGATGCATTTGGAACATAGCTGCTTTGATTTCCTCATCCGATGGGGTAACATTTAAAGTCTCATTCATCTCTCTTGACCCCACATGCTCAATGCCTTCGAGAGCCTACTCAAAATCCCAAGGAGAATCAGAAGTGAATAGAGTCCAAAAATATCGTTCAACAATGCCTTCTAGCTCCTCCGTTTTGTTGCGTCATTCCCCATTCTCATCGAGCAGCCCCACGATTCTATTATAGCTTCTTCTTTGGCTTACTTTATGGTGGAAGTAAGCAGTGTTTTTATCTCCATCTCGGATCTTATTCGCCCTCGCCCTCGCATGCCAATAGGACTCTTCCAATCTATGCAACTCTTGAAGCTCATTTGCAAGAGACGAACACAACTCAAGCATCGCCGCATCGGGATAACGTTCTTGCGCCTCCTTCAGTTTCCCCTCTGTCACTCTTATTTTCTTTTTTAAATCACCAAAACATCTTGCTGCCCATGCTGACAAACTCTCTGCACAAAGGATAGCCTATGTGTCGCTTGTTCCCCAATACTTGCTGCCCACGACTCGGCTACAACCTTTCCACATTCATCACTCGAAAGCCACATCGCCTCAAATTTTTAAATTGTTTTTCCTTCCTACCCCGCTCATAATAATTGCTGGCTGAAATTATCAAAGGGGCATGATCCGATTGATAAATCGATAAGTGGCGCACATCAGTGTAGGGGAATTCCGAACACCACTTTACATCACCGAGAAATCTATTAAGCCGCTCTCTCTTAAAAGTCTTCGGTCTCATGCCTTTCATCCAAGTGAAAATGCTACCCCTATAACCTAAGTCTTGCAAGCCACAATCATCAATAGCATTCCGGAAAGCATCCATCATTCTCTCACTCCTTGAAGCCCCTCCTTCTTCCTCACTATGACTCACAATCTCATTGAAGTCCCCAAACATTATACACGGAAGAGTACTGCTTGACTTGATGTTAGTCATTAAAGACCATGTACGATGTTTGTTCTCTGTCTCGGGCCATCCATAAATACCAACTGTTCTCCACACTGGACTGTCAATGTGATCACAAATGTCAACCACAATATGATGAACCGATGAGAATGAGTTGGTTTTGACATTTACATCTCTCCACCATAGACCAAGACCCCCTGAATTTCTATTGCTACTAAGACATATCCCATTAACAAAGCCACATATATTTCAAATTCTCTCTAACTTACTAGCATCAATTTTCTTCTCCATTAGAAAGACGATGTTTGGCCGCTCTCTCCAACACCAATCTCGGAGACCTTTTTCCGTCCAAGAGTTGCCAAGCCCTTGGACGTTCCAGCTAAATATCTTCATTGCTTTTCGAGGGTGTGGTTCAAGCCACCACTTGATTTATGCTGTCTCTAGCCGAGTTCTTCAAAGAAATTTTAGCTTTCTTTCCATCACCACTGTCACCTTCTCCATCATACACCCCTACACTCTCCATACCCTACTTCCTCTTAGCCCCTGCTTGCTGTGCATACTCCGTCTCCATAGGATTAGTTTTAGTGGACCCTTGTTTAGGATTAGGTGTAATGTCAGCTACTTTAAGATTAATGCTTTCTTTCCTCAAATTCTCCACATTTTCGACCCCACCAGTAGTTATGATAGGTTTTGTCAACCCATTATCTCCTGTCAAAGCCTCGAGTGTCTCATTATTTTGCACTGTCATAAGTTCACTCTCATCATAAGTTTGCACCACATTTGGGACCCTCACATTCTCATCAATGTCAACCCCTTTTGTTCTCAACACTAGTTCGGTATTTGTTGCGTTCATAACAGCCATCAGTCTAGACTCCTGTTGTCTTGGTGAAATATCACGATCTATTTTTGTAGGGCTTGAAAAGAGCAACTTATGTGCCACACTAGGCGGCCCCAATTTTATCACCCTAGGATCATTGTATAAGGGGGCCTTGCCTCCTTTGTGAACTTTCAAATCAGTCATCATCTTCACCTCCTTTTCTCTTTCCGAATCAGAAAGTCGGATTTGCTTTCTTGGAGATGCTCGCAGCCATGGTCCGTATTGGTAGACTGTCTCCTCAGTCTCTTTAGAGTTTTCTTTTTGTTGGCACTCCCTGTTAGTATGATCAAGTCCACCACAATAAAAGCAGAAGTCCGCCAGACGTTCATATTGGATATTAATCCATTTTGAAGCAAAGGGTCCAGTAGCCAGTCACATACCTCTTCTCAAAGGCTTATTAATGTCAACAAGGATTTTAATCCTCATAAATTCCCCCCAACCAATAGGATCAGTATCATCAAACTCTAAAAATCCACCCAAAAACTCACCTATTTCTTTCATGACAGTAGCATTACGCTTATTAACATCCCTCAAACGAACCCATATGGGGGAGTGTGTAAAGCGTACCTCCGATGGTTGCTCGTCGCCATTAATTTCCTTTAGGATCAGCATCTTGTCATCAATGAACCAAGGACATCCATCCAACACCCTCCTTTTGTCATCCACGTTGAAGAATTGAAACACAAACAAGTTGGTTTCAACCATTCTTATTGCTATATTATCACGCAGCCTTCGATCGTCCATAACTTTCCTACTATCGTAAGATTCAATTGAACCTTCGCCTCATCATCATTATTCGACAAATCCCCATCCACAATTGCTTCTTCTTCCTCTGTGAGTTGGAATTTTTCCCACTGCTTGACTAATTCCTCTTCCGTAATTGCTTTGGATCACTCGAATGTAGAATCTAGTAATCAATAGCCAATTATTTTGCCACAGGTTGCACTGGTGAACGAACGAAAACGAAACCCTAGACAAGGACTATGAGACCCTAGTCGAGGGACTCATGTACTTAATTAATATAGCAAATGTTCTTTAGATCTATCGAAAAATCAATCATCAATAGAATAGGTCCCAAAAGTATATCATCTTCATCAACCTTTATGTTCCCAATTTATTTCAAAAAATATATATATATACACAATTAGATGATATTTTTTTTTTAAAAAAAAAATACACAAATAGATGAACATAGTTTGTAACGTAAAGAACATATAGTTCAAATCCAAAGAACATACATAGTTTGTGACTATGAAAAACATATAGTTTAGACCCAAAGAACATATTAATTAAGGTCAATGAATGTATTCATTCCAATTAAAAAAATGAATATGGATAAAAAAAACTGATAAAAGAACATTTATCCTAATCCAAAAGAACTTCATCTTCAACATCCGAAAATAACACAAATTAAAAAAAAAAATTAAAATAATAAAAAAATAAATTATTTACATTTTCTTTAAGTGATGAATTCATTAACTAATGATACATGAACAAATATAATAATCTAAAAACATCATCAACAACAACAAAATTATGAAATATAAATTGGAAAAAAAAAAAAAATTAAAACTACCTTCTCATTTGGTGACAAAATCTAAAATTAAATATCATTTGTCAAAAACATCAATCTGGTGATCATAGATCGTGACGAAATTCACCATGAGCCACCATTTTCTCTCTAAAAAATTAATTTCTTTCTCTTAAACTTTTATTTTCTCTCTAAAATTCTCTATTTTCTTAAAAGCTGATTATGAGCAATTATGGATATGGGAAGCTAAAATTATGGAAAGGAAATAACAAAATCTTTCGGTTAAGGAGCATAAATTTAGGAAGATTAAGGAGCATAAATTTAGGAAGCTGACCTTTTTTTTTTTTTTTTTTGAATAATAATTTTCATCCAGGTGTAGCATGAGCATGGTACACCCCTGGTGTACAATGTAAATTTCACCAAAACACAAAACCAGTAGGTATCACCATTCCTACTTTATTTCA